GGGAAGTGATGTATATTGGGAGATAAACATCAGGATTAGCCAGGTAGGTGAGTTTTGAGAGCCACACAAATTCTTGTCCTTGTCCCACCTGGTACCTTGGGAGTGCAGCCCGTGTGTAATACCCAGTGGGAGCTCCTGGCTCCTGGCAGTTACCAGATTTTTCTCATAACATTGATCCATTTTCAGGTTTTAACTGGAAGCAGAGCCCGTGCCAACCCACCTGAGCACTGACATTTTCCCTTCTCCCTCACAGAATGTGAACGGTATCAAGTACCACGCCAAGAACGGCCACAGAACACAAATCCGTGTACGCAAACCATTCAAATGTCGCTGTGGAAAGAGTTACAAGACAGCTCAGGGCCTGCGGCACCACACAATCAATTTCCATCCCCCCGTGTCTGCTGAGATCATCAGGAAGATGCAGCAATAACATGCTGGTCACAAATGTGCCAAGAAATCCTCACCAGCAGTTGCTGATTTTGAGAACAGCCACCTTTTTCAGGGGAAGCACTCAGCAACCCTTTAAAAAAGTTAAATGCATGCTTTAAAATTTTCTGTAATTTTGGAATGATGTATCTTTGTAGAGTTAATGATTTTGTACATTTGCACATGTTATCATCTTACCCATTTTCATTACTTTGAGATAAGGTGCTATAAAAGCTATAGGTTCTTCAGAACATTTTTCTCCAAAAAAAAACAAAAAAATAAGAACTAGGGGGACGTTGCGTATTTAGTTGTACTGACGTGTGGGACAGGAGCGCGAGGAGGAGAGCTTGGCACTGACATCCTTTCAAGATTGTAACGTGATGAAGACTTTTGATGCATCTGTCAATGTGTGTGCAAAACCAAAACAGTACCGCCCTCGTCAAACTATAGTTAACATGCCTTACATAATGGAGTTATCAGTGGAGTAGCAAGTCTTTTAGGTAATGGAAATATAAATAAGAAAGAATGTTTAACATAATATGCTAAAAATATTTTCATACTTAAATAACATACATAAAAAGGTGTGCTTGCTGTATTTTATATTATCTTGCAAATCTTTTTTTTTCTCCCTCTTGAAATGCTGAAAACCTTGCCATTCAAACTAGTAAACAATCACTTTAATGTTAGCAATTACATTTTTTTCTCTGTACAAGATGTCATATTATGTTCATGCCCATCAAACTTTTGAGGACCAATATCCCAGTCCAACTAAATATTTACCCCTGACCTATCTGTTAGAAAGACATTTGGAAATACTTAAGTGCAAATTTATGTGTGTATGAGAAACAATTATCTTCATCTCAGATGAAGTTTTGAAGCACTTTGTAGTTCTCTATTGCCAACAGATTTAATGTTTTATGTGTTGCCAATTCTTGCAACTACTGTACGAGCATGTGCTGTGGTTGCAAATAAAAATGAGAAATTCAGCGCATGGTTTAAGGAGGTCCGTTAGTTGTGCTAAGGGAGTTCTAATGCCTCTCCCTCACATTCATTGTGTTTTCAGATTTTCTTTGTGCATTTTTTGCTTCTCATTGTAGGTCACCGCATTCCATTTGGAAGTGTCTGTTTAGCTTTACAATTAATTTTGCTGAAATATGACATTTGAGCCTTATTGAAGATTAAGTGCTTCTTGCAGCAGGTGGTCAGAGACTGACTTAAAAGCCAACATGAGAGCGCTTCGTGTCTGGACCATACCTGAACATTTGTTGCTTGCCATCCTGCCTTGAGCATTCTTCTCACAAGTGCTATTCCTGGAGTTCAGTTGGCCAGGAGCAGAGGTGGGCACCCTCCACCAGCCCTAGCCTGAACACTCCTTTGCCTGGCAAGGGTGCAGGAGGAACTCCCAGTTTTAACACAGTCATCGCCTTGGCTTGGTTCCTGTTCTTTTAAGTGCAAAAGAAAGCTCACATAAAGGAGGAATGAGCTTTCCCTATTTTTTTTCCAAAGCTTTAAAGGAAAACTTTGTAAGGATGACAATTACCTTTTCTCCAGCAGAGTAAAAGCCTCACTAAAATACATAAGAATCATCCTAATGAGTAAGTGTTTAGAACAGCCAAAGTGAAGCAAAACATCCCTCTCTCAGATGCCAGAGAGGTGACCATGACAGCCAGGTTTAAAGGATGATCCAGACATGAGAGTTACTGGTACACACAAGGCCCCAAGTGGCCACTTCCCACCTTCTGCAGCTTTGGCAACAGATCTGGCCAACAAACACGTTTTGGCTCTGCTCCTAGTGCAAGAACTACAGGCTGGGCGAGTTCGTTCAACAGCTAAACAGTTGTAAAACGTTATTGTTGCATGTAAATTCCTTTCAACTATAAAACTGAAATTCCAGTTTCTATTTACCTATTCATTGTGACAGTATTATTAAACAGGTAAAGATGGGACTATTTTGTTATACTGTGTATAGTGAATGTATTGTACTGTGTCTGTGAAAAGTGTGCTTTAAATTATATTTTCATATGTTTTGTTGGGGACAAAGTACTTTAAGTTTGAAAGTGACAGAGGTTTGTTTTAGAACTGAAGGCAACTTAAAGAATTCCTGTCAGGAAAGCTGCTTATAAATGTAAATCAAATCACATTTAAAATAAACTGCCTCTGACCTAAGAAGACTGCTCTTTTCTCATTCCTAACCTAGAGTTAGGTTTTTGGGCTGTGTATTTTATTTGTTTATTTTACTTTGGTATCATCAAACTCTTGGAGCCTGTTCTAACTGTTTTCATCTGCTGTTGAGTTACATTAAGAAAAAAATTCATGCTTTACTTCAGGCCAACTCTTGGTTATAAAGTTCCCAGTTATAAAAATCTTTAGACTGCAAATGGCACACGAGCACTGATGAGTTGCTGCTGCCCTAGACACTGCAATTCATCCACGTCATGCAGTTTTTAGTTAAATCCTGCATTAACTGGATATTGCACATGTTCAGGAGGGAACTGCAGTCAACAGAGGCTACTCTAAGCCTTAGTACCAGAGTCTCCCTCTCAAAGAAAGAACATAAACAGATGTGAGGAGCAACCCTGTGTCATACAACGCCGAGTCATTTACTCCTAAGTGAAGTCTATACTCTGTTTAATTTCAAAATGAGCAGAAGGGAAAATAGACCACTGACTCCATGAATAATTCTGCTTTTAATGTAACAAGACTACTGTACAGCAAGTGGGAAGCAAATTTACTTAATACAGTTAAAGCAAATATAAAATGTTTAGATATACACACGTGTTTTTACTTATTGGAAAGAAATACATAAAGTTAAAACGCAAAAGGTTTTAAAAGCCAGAAGGAACACAATCCACTGTTGTGAAAATAGAACAATATTTTCTACTGAATAAAACTGCAACATAATGGCAATGACTTTTTTAAACAATTACTTTTAGGCATTTAAGCACAGCAGTCTCTTTCAGCTCAAAACCACTGCCCTAAAGTATAATGTACCTCACTTAATGTTGTCCCTTAAGGCAAACATTCTACATGTGAAACTGAAGTATTTACCATTCCTCTTGCTGCAAGCCTGGAATCTCACAGTACATGCATCTACATCTCAGAAATGTACTAGAAAACTATATTTTCATAGGGTAAGTAATGTAACTTTCCAATTTAAGTGTTACTCAGAGAAAAACTATATGGATTTGCTAGGTGAAACACCTGCTTATTACATTTTTAATTGTGCCTCAGTTATAAAGGGTAGGAGAAACCCCAGGTGTTTTTGGTGATCTTTTTTAAATGTAGCTGAAGAACACCATGAAGCCGGTCTCATTTTTTCTGAGGCTCAGTCACTCCCGTGTCCTTAGGCATTCCACTAAGTAGGGGAAGAAATTCCGCTAAGTAGGGGAATAAATAGCTACATACACAACAAGGTGCGGGGTTGTGGGTCTCCTTAGTACAGTGTTAGGCAGAGAGAGAAGATTACCCCATAGCAGCTTACTGCCATGGCTCCCATTAGAGTACATGAGCTTTTAATCAGAAGTTTGCACTGTTACAGAAAGCTGCACTGCTTTTGTTTTGGAGATGGACTACCAAAGTGGTGGGGTTTTAAGCTACACTGCAAAACAAAGTATTTAATCAAAATTTAATACGTTCTGATCAAAGTGCGTCTGGACGTGCCTCTCAAAGCCTTGCTGGTCGTAGTCGGGCGGGAACTGCTCGCTGCACATGGGACAAACCTTCCAGTGGCTCTCAACGTGCTCCTCAAACTTGCTCTGGTCGTAGTTTGGGGGAAACATCACATCACAGAGAGGGCATTTCTTCTGCACATCAAAACTTCACGAGAAAAAAGGGAACAGTTTATTTCTATTTATTCTGTTAATGCAAACTAAAAGCAGGATCCTGCTGCCACCGACATTCAGAACTTTACTACCAACTTCAATTTGAGTGGACTTTGTATCCAAGTATCATCCAGTTCATTTAAATGTTTTTCCAAAAGCACTCAATACAGTCAGAGTAGTTTCACATGCAAATTCCAAAATAACCTGGCATTTTAAAAGCAACATAATTTTGACCTTATTCCAGCTACCACTGAATACAAATCTATTGAATACTTTAATGGCCAGTTTCATGGGAAACCACTCTCTCTGCTCATAAATGCTTGCTCTTAGCAAACATAACACTTTATAAAAGCTCTAAACTTAGGTTCACAATTAGGCTGGCAAGAGAGGGAAAAAAAAACAAAAGTTATTCATTCATTTACTAAAAAAACTGTCAAAATTCCATCAAAGGTATAGCATGAACGGCCTGCCCAGTCTCATGGCATATTCTCTGCCAGTTAATTGTAATCTAAACATTCACTGAAAATGCCCAGTAGCTTTTCACCTACACCCCCACCCTTGGGTGGTTCTACAGAAACCTCTCTGTGCCCTTAAAGACCAATAACAAGATAACATCTACCTGGAATCAAAGCAGAAGCCTGTGCCCCGCTCACGCAAGAGTAGACTTGGAGGATCAGGAGCAGAAGGTACAGTGTTGTCATCATCCTATTGAAAAGAGAAAGTATTTTAAAGACTAACCCCTACAAACAGGTGTTTTTGTTTTTTTTATCTCAATATGCATTTTGTTACCAAACACAAACCCAGATGAAATTTACCTTCACTCTGTAATTTCTGTAGCATAAGTTTTGCTTTTGTACATCTTGGCTCTATTCTGCAATTCAATAACAGAGCAGAAAAATGGAATCATTTCAAGGTGGAAATACAGCTATATTCCAAGATTTTTGGAACTCCAATTCCTACTTCATTTTCCTTTTTATCTCAAAGATGCCTTAAAAGGAAGGGCTAGGAATTATTTAGCTGCTCTACAAAAAACAATGTGCAAAGGAGCACGTATAACAGCACACGTGCTGTGTTTTTTACAGATAACTACATTATCTGTAAAAAATTATCTGTAATTATTGTAATTATCTGTAATTTTTACAGATAACTCATATGCAAACATATTTCAGTTTTAGGCTAGTGTACTTTTCCCTTATGAAGGATTAATGGAAACAGGGAAGGCTGGGAAAATTTCCTCAATATTCTTCTGACAACATCTGTTTGGTTTCAACTATTTAACATTTCCATTAAGAAGGCAGTGGGGCCTGCTATGACAAGATGCTGGCAACAAGCATAATCTTGCAGTCTGTTTGCTTTGCACCTGCAGTGAAAATAGCATGAGAGTTTTAAAACCATCAGTTGTTCCTTTTGTCATGAAGGAGACAGGATAGACGTATTAAGAAAGAAAAACTATTTTGTTTGAAGTACTCTCATGCTACAGTGCTACAGCTTGTACAAAAACACAACAAATTTGCTGAATACCAGACTGAAGCACACTAGGACTTAAACAAGGAAATTAATGTGCATCTTCCATCAGTAAAACAGTTCCACTACAAACACTGGCCAAATTAACACTTAAGTCTTAGCTAATTTCTTCAGTAAGAAGAAATTAACTTTTCCCCTCCTCCACTTTTTTTTTTTTTTTTTTTTTTTTTTTAAAGGCATTTGGCTCACAGCTGGTCACTTGGTAAGATAAAATTATTTACAGCTTTTGCCCTCTCTTTCAGCTTCTGGCAAGTGTGGTACCGTACCACGTACAAATGTAACACTACTCCTTGTTCCTGTTTGAGAAACATCTGAAAAAAAGGATGATGCTTTCCTCTGTATAGGCACACCTGCACTGTCCTACATGGCTGCCCTGCAAAAACTCTCTTCAACACAAGGCAAGCACATGTAAAAGCTTTTGGAATGTCCTAAGCCTACAGCTTTCTCGTGGCCCAGTTCCCTTAATTGAGAAATTCATACTGTGTGTTCCTTACAGCAGCTTCTGACCCAGGCCCTGTACAAGAATGTCAATACTAAGTATGTACTGATATTACCCTGTTAGGATACAGAACATCTGTCTCTTCAGTGTACTTCTGCTCTTGGCAAAGTCACAGGGATCAGTTCTTAACCTTTTGGGATGCCTAACCCACACAAGAAGAATGCAAATGTCTCTCTGTTGAGCTGACCTCACAGAGATGTTACAGAGATTACTGTGTAACCACAGTATGGCCAAACAGGAACCATGAGAACTTTATCTTACTCTGAGAGGACTTCTCAACTATTCTAATTGCAAGTTACAGTAAACACTATACAGTCACCAAGAACTAAAAAATCTCACGCAGCACCCTGAGCTAACTCAGGGAAAACAGAGATTCTGAGTTCAAGAACTATCTCTGACAGCTCAAAGACAAATATTCATTGGTTTTTGAAGCTGCTTTACAGAGACACCTGAGACACCAAGCCTCAGTGCCTCAGTGGCTCTTGCCTATGCTGTATAACATACAGCATCAGCTTACTTCGATACTATGAGGTTCTTTTGATGAAAGTTCTTTTGATGAAAGCCCACATTCCATATTTTGAGAAAGAAACAAGTTTAATCTGCCCTTTTTGTAGATCCAAAGCCACCTTTCTGGCAGTCCAGACTGATGATGAGGGACATGGACATGGCTGCACATAGTCTGAGAGCCCTACAGTGCCCTGCAGTGATATAACACAGTGGGTACACAGTCTCAGGTCCTTAGGAAAAAGACTGGTACCATGGACCCACAGGCTGTCATTGTGATCCTGCAGCAGAACAAGTGCCAGGCCCACTCAACTAGAAGTCTGAATAATTATGTGAACGAATTATAAAGGATGTCTTTAACATCATGATTTAACCATTATCACTGGAGTGTACCTCTGGCTCTTTAAAAAACTGCCACAATGAGTTCCACAGATTAAGTGAATCATAAAGATAAATACAGTATTACACACCAGAGCATGGTAAAAATAGGATTTGCCACTAGGGGAAGAAGGGAAAGCCAGATATTAAACTGTCAGAAGTAAGTGCAACTTGATTAGTTTTACTGAAACCAATCAATTATGTCTCAAGTACTGCTTTCATAATTACAATTATGGTGGAAGTGGCTACAACACCCTTAATTTCTTAAACTAATAAAAACTTTCTTAAACTAATTTCTTAAACTAATAAAAAGAATGTGGACAGGAGGACAGCAGAAGTCCATACAATTGTAGCATTTTAAACAAAGCAGCAAGCCTACCAGTGCTTTTCTTCTGGGAGGAAATCCTCCTCCAGCAAAAGGCTCTACATCCCACTGGTTGAAAAAATGCAGAGAACAGCATCTTAAATATCTTATTTTAAAAAACAGCCCAAGAAACGGTAATCTCTTCATATTTATCATTTTATATTTGCTGTTTCTTCTGCACAAATGACAGACTCTTCTTTATAAGGAATCACTTACATACGTGGAAGTTTTTCCTGGTTATTTATTTACACCCTGCCTCAGAACTGTTTTATCTTTGGCATATTACTAAGCCTCCCTAGAAAAATTCCTGCAGCTTCTCATTTTCATATAAATTTCTACACTATGCATACAGTCCTTTTAGGTAAGGAACAAGCAACTGATTCTCAATTGCAAATAAAAATAAAGATACAAGTTATTTGATTTAAAGGCACCTTTTCTCAAGCTGAACTTTATTTAAGCCTGTTATATTCCACCTCATTACAAAAATCCAAGCTGTTTCTGCAAACGAGCACAAGATTCTAGCACTGTTTCTCTTGGGTTTGCAAGAGGGCAAAGCACATAGATCAGAGAAAACACCCTGCTAATTAAACTGCAGCAGATGACTAAAGAAGAGAAGAGCTTGTCAGATGTAATAGCTACGTCAAGAATGATCAGATTAAATACGCAAAATGTGAAGTAAAGGTGGGGACAGCATTAAGCTCACATTCGAGATCTTGAACAGGCTGCAAAAGCTCTGACAGGTTCTCTAATTATTCACAGTAATGGACATTGGGAGCAAAAGGTAGGAGGGAGAAATACATTTTTCTCCATTATAGGTGCTGAGCACCAGGGCTAAAATCATGCCTGTCTGAACACTGATCAGTTTCTGCAAAGGTTAATAGCAATTAAATGTGGCAAACTAGACTAAATGAGAAACAGGTCATGATACCACTGTACTTGCAAAGAGCACAATACTTTGCAGAAAGGTATTTCTTGTTTAATATTTTTGATGGTGCAAGAGTACTTGGAATAAGAAAGAGTAATAGGTCTGTTCCTGTTCAAATGAAGACATACAGTCCAATTTATTACAGTATTTTTTACACCAGAATGTGCAAGTTAACTGTACTATAAAAAATGTAACCAGAAACTTGAAACATCCAAAGCCCTAAAAAAAAATAAAAATCAGTGCAAATGTATCTCTTTCAGTTCAATCAGCTTTAGGCAACAGTCAATTAAGCTCTTTCAAATACATGTCCAATAGCAAGAAGCATTCAAAATGGAAATGAATAAATGCAGATTTGCAGAAGACAGAACAAAAGATTAACAGATTAGAATAATGTATCTATTAGTATACCAATTTATAGTCAGCATTTACTGAAAATACTGGTATGTAAATCATTTACATTTTAATTTCTTCTGTTCCACTTTATTTCCTATATTCCTATTAAAAAAATGAGTCAGATGTGGCTACATTTTGAGCACTCATTCTATCACACAGGACAGAAAAATCATGAGTTGAGATTACTTAACTTTTTTTACTTTAGTACTTCAGTAGTATTAAGAAGCTACTGTCCTAATACCAAAACAAGCTGTCAGTAACTCAAGAGATTAGGGGAACAAGTATATTATCATCAATGGAGTTTTCCCTTCACAGCAAGCAAAAGTATTTTTCAGGGAAAAGAAAAAACAATTCCAAATTTACATAACAATAAATCTGGCTTATCAGATATGGAAAACCTATGTGAAACTCTTGGTAACTCATCAATAAACGTATCAAGGAAAATAAATAACAAAAAAGGTAACTTGCATTGCTGTCCTCAGGATCTTCTAAGCCATCAGGCCGACTGAGATTGCGTGAAGGCTGGCTACACACTACATCATCTAGCTCCCAAAAGGAACTTCTAACAGGTGGTCTTTGGATCTCATCAGGATTAAAAGCGCCATCTGCTCCATCTGAAGAAAAATTAATTAGGACATCTTTGTTCAGTAGACTGTATTTTGAGATTAGAGACATACTACCATACCTTTAAAAATCAAGAGTTAAAATGTATTTTTGGTTTAGACAGTATAAAACAATAGGAGAGAATCAGCTTTTTTCAAAGGCATTTAAAACTTTGTTTATCTTACTGATTCCCATAATAAAATAAAGGCCCTTTACTGAAGTTCATCAATCACAAAAGGCTCTGTAAACCAGTCTGAAGACTGTTGGTACTTAACCTGCATTCAATACTTAATCTGCCTTTGAAACAGAGAGGGAAAAATTATATTGTGGGGGGGTCTGAAATTTATTTACCTCTTCTTTCCTGAATTGCGTAAGGGTTTCCATATTGCAATACTGGTAGTCTACTTGGCACTGCAGGAACTGGTCCATTTTCCTCTGAATATGGGTTGCGAAAATGTAATGGCGGCTGTGAAGTCTGTCCTTCCATCATCCTTCCAGCCTGATCTCCTGGTGTCCTGCCAAGCTCCTAAAAAATGCAAAGTTCAAAATGTAGTTAACCTGTGGAGTCCTAACAAAATTTGAAATGTTTATGAAATATGTTTTTAAAAGAAAAAATCTGCTAACCTCCCTAGTGTCTTTTAATCTTGACCTTATGCCAAGTATATCATAAATACCAAAAACAGTCAATGAAGAAAAGACAAAGAAGACATTTTAAAGAGGTATTATTTTTTCTTGGTTTGTTGTCAGTTAGTTCTAAATACATGAACAGAACTGCCATGTTTTTCAAGTGTCTGCATCCTTTTTACAATGAAAAAAATCAGCTAAATCGGTAAAAATCAGTAGATTGACAAGAACAACTAAAGATAATGTGCAGTGAGAAAAGTTTTTAAAAGTTAAAATTAAAAAGAAAACAATTCTTTTTTTCATATCATACCATACCATTCAAAAATGTATCATTTTAGTACATGGAGCACATCTTTGTACATATTTGACATAATTCCATATGAATTCATGAGTGGCAGATATTTAGTGAACTATTAAGTACATTGATCCCTTCTGATATTTAACAGCAATATTTTAATCAGATCATTCTTTCAGAAATGATCGAACACAACTCGTCAAAAAATTAATATACTTAAAATTCTAGGTTCCTGCACATAAACCATACATATGATAGTAATTACAAACTACAAAGGGGCTTTATAATTTAGAAACCATTAAAACTCTAAGATCTTAAAAGACACTAATTAAAGTGACTTCAGTGTGGTCAATGCATCAGCTGTAATTTATCCCAATAAAAATCTTTCTCACCCTTCCATTCAACGAAGTGGGTTAAGGAAGAGAGAGCAAAATGCCACGAATATCAAAAATAATATGTCATTTAAATTCAGAACCAAGCAAAAATCCTGAGATATAAATATGAAAACAATAATTTGAAAATGGGGACTGTTAAGGGAGACATGCTTTCCAGTAATGTTCTTTCTAATTAGTATTTTCTTCTGGGTTCTCTGGGTTCATGTTTAATATTTGCTGATGTGATGCTAATAAAACCCTCAAAGACTGAAGTGTGTCTTTTCCCTGAAGACTTTAAATTGAAACTTAAAGCCAAAGCTTCAACTGCCAATTCAACTTCGTAAAAATTAAAAGTCTGTTTAAAAAAGGAACAATTCAATTTTTTTTTCTTGCAAACAGGTGAACTTCAGATCAACCTCTTGAACAGAGAAATGCAAAAATCAAGTACCAAAAACTCCTCTGAAAACAAAACACTACTCAAATGCAAAAAGACCTCATGTAATGGATGTCATCTGTCCTCTAGATACAATATAAAGCTATGCCACTGTTACTTTAAATTTATAAACTAAAAGGAACATATGATTAAAACAGGTAAGATTAAAAAGCTAGGATTGCACATTTTAGTGAGTGTGTAAAATCTAAGTAATTCATCTTTACTCAATACAAAGCAGGAACAATAAATTAGCAGCGAAATCAAGATTTTCTTTTTTAAAACCAATTTCTTCTGCAATACAGAAACAGTTTAAAATGAGAGGCAGTAGCATTCATACTTTAATTGTAGCATTACATACAATTGAAACAGAAACATGACTGCAAAAAGGTCATGCAAAAAACCTTAGCTGGAAGTTGGATAGCTAGAGACTGATTTAAACAAAAAAAATAAAGCTAAGTATGTAAATAAAACAGAAACCAAGTGATTTCATAGGTTTGAAGAGACAGCAAATGAACATTTTTTAGAAAGCTATGCTTGGTTTATAAACAAACACTGATAATGAGTATAAATTGAAATGCTGTTTACTATTAACCCATGCTTAACCTTTTAAATCATGGGTCCAGTCTAGCAAGGCACTTTGAGTCTTCTTTGTAATGTAAATATCTATAAATTTGGTAGACAAAGTTCCAAGCTTTTATAAGCTTCATACACTATTATTATTATTATTATTACAGTTGTTGTTCTTATGTGTGGTATTTAAAATTACTCCCTCCAGCTAAACTAGCCTCACCAAAACTCAAACTAAAATTTGATTTCTTTTGAACTAGAAAAATATGAGAGATTTATTAAAAATTACATCCTTGTCTTAAAGAGAAGATAAATATCAACTACTTGACAATCTAGAATTAAAAAAAAAAAAAAATTAACTAGCTTAATCTGAAAGTTTAGTTTTGTTTCAGTTTATCAGTATTAAAATGACTGGTTTTATCTTTCCTACTGGAATTGTAAAGTAATCAAATAAAGTTTCAAAGAAAAAGCCCAACTTTGCACAATACCATACAATACTATCTGAATGTAATAAAGACATTTTACTGTTTCACTTTTCAATAAAATTTAGCTTTGATTAATTGCCATATAATACCTTAGAGGTACTTCTACATTACATTAATATTTCAGAATGTGTGACAATACCTTCTCGCTGGTTAAGAGTTCCAGTTGTGATGCCAGTTCCTTTACTCGTCTCTCTTTTTCTGCCAGCTGAATCTATATGAAAAGAAGATTAAGATTCTTATATTAGTGAATGAAAACTATTTCCCTGCATGTTACATCATGAAAACAAAGCTCCCCAATTAAGTTAATATTTCAGATGAAAACAGTTTTGTCTATTAGAGTTACATGCATAGTGTTACTATAAATCCAACCCAACAATTCTCACGAATTTTTATCTGCTGTGTAACTGCAGTTAATCAGCAGCCTTTTCTCACCAGTTTTCACTGAACAGTTGTGGAATGAGAATATTCTGTGTTAAAAACAAGGAGTTGTATCAGTGCCACCAATGGCAGGAGGGACACCGCTGTCCAGACATAGCTGAAGGTTTGCAAGCCTCATCTCATCACGTGTGAGTATTTTCATGGCATTTCATACGTCCCACCATAGAAACTGAGAGAACTAAAAGCTACTCCTGCCTCAGAGAAACTAAATTTGTTTCATGAACATCTACGTTGTGTCTCTACTGCGTGCTCTAGGAGGAGGTGCAACTGACACATTACACAATTCTTCTTGGCTTCAAAATTATGATTTAAATAATCTCACACTACAAAGGACTATTTTATTTGCATTCTAGTTCCTTTTGAGACTGCCTCTTCCCCTGTTTTTCTAATATCAAAGCTCAGTGCTTGGCATAACTGCTTATCAATTTTTTTCAATTCTGAAATTCCTTCTCCTAGTTTAGGTCAATGGAGCAAAACCTCCTGACTGGGAAAAAAAGCTCACTTTTTCTCTACCACCTGCACCCTCCTGAATTATAGCAATTTTTTAACTGCAGTCAAAATGCTTTCAATCGTGGAACCAATTATTTATTACACCCAGTGCTACGAAGTTAAACTTACTTCACATTAAATTATGCATGGCAACTGATCACTGCTAATTAGTACAATAAACTGGAAAGAGTCATGCATTTTATAAAATTGAAATTATAGTTTTGGAAAGTGTCAGAAGAAGATGGCCTGTGGAGTACTGAAATAAAACTGCAGAGTAATTCAGCATTTTATAAAGAAACAGTGCTGTAATTCCTAATAAAAATGGGTTCCTAGTAGAACCAATACAGTCACAGCTCAGTTTAATCATTTTTCATCACAATGGGCAAAAGCAAGCAACAGAGTCAACTGTATTATCACCATTATACTGAGAACCACCAGAAAAGCTGATCTCATGAATATCTGTTGCTCATATCTCATTCCCATTGACCTAAAAATCATATTCAGCATAAGCATTCCTATCACATAACCTCAAAGATTAAGGCACCTTGTAAGCTAAAGTTGCCCATTGTACTTGACTTTCTGGTGAATGTGCTACATTACTCTACAAAGACTATAGCTGAAGTTCTCCAAATTAAATTCTTGCATGATTTTAGAAACAATGGACCACTCCTCTCTCTCTACTGACTTCAGATAAAATGCATTAGACATTACTACACTGGTAATACAATACAGAATATGAAGATTTTAGACAAACACACCAATCAATCTTTCTGTTAGTATTACAGTAAGCAGCAGGAAATTAGAAATGCCTTTCACTTTTTTTCCCATACTACAAGACTACATCGTTTAGGGGTTTGTCTAAATGCACAGTATTAAAAGACTGATGGCCAGCTGATAGTAGATCTTAGCAGACCTCTCATACTTTAAAAGAAACATTACAAAACTGTATTGTTTCTTCAACAGCAGAATGTGTATTTACAGCAAAAATTTATTTAGTATGCATTCCTTATTAAAGCTCTTCATTACTTGATCTATCAGAAATAAGCAGCCATGTTAAGAAGAGGTAAGCATTCATTGTCATAAACAAAACCTTTAACTTACTTTATACTGATCCTCCATTGCTGCCAGCTGTAATTTTATACCCTCGTTGGTTT